TGACTGCAAGTTTAATTTTAAGAAAGCACTTTTTTTTTTTCTGGAGACAAAGTCTTGCTCTTCTCCTCCAGGCTAGAGTGCAATGGTACAATCTCAGCTCACTGTAACCTCTGCCTCCTGGGTTCAAGTGATTCTCCTGCCTCAGCCTCCTGAGTACCTGCGATTACAGCCATGTGCCACCATGCCCAGCTAATTTTTGTAGTTTTAGTAGAGACAGGTTTCTCCATGTTGGCCAGCCTGTTCTCGAACTCCTTACCTCAGATGATCCGCCTGCCTCAGCCTCCCAAAGTGCTGAGATTACAGGCCTGAGCCACTGCCCCTGGCCGAGGCTATGCTTTCTATTGTGCATTCCCTGTGCTGCATGGACACAATTAGCAGGAGTGGTGACTGCTCTACCTATATAGCATATTTAAGCCATATACTGGGAGGAGTGAGCACATTCTCTGAAGGACTAGCGTTTCTAATAGACTTGACTTGGGATAAGAAAGTTTACCACAGTGCTGAGTAAGCTGTTTGGAGAATATGTGTGTAACTTGGAAAGAATCATGATAATGAGAAGGAAGCCATGGTGTGGGTGATCCAGGAGAGTGCCAATCCCATACATTAAATGCAGTCTTCATATATAATTTAAAAACTTGAGAGTTACAGAAGTACCTTAGAAATGATCTCATGCAAAGTGTTCATTTAAGGGAGTAAGAAATCAGCTCTTAGAAAAAATAAATGGGTCATCAGTGATTGCAGCAGCTATGAGACTAGGCCCCAGGCCTCCTAATTCTAGCACTTGCCTGCTAGTCTCCAGTGTTCCCTGACAGCCAGCAAGCCTTGAGTGTGGCCTAAGAGGAAACTCACACTGTGGACAGTTCAGATTTGTTGATTCCAGAGTCTTCCCCAGGGAGTAAACATACACGGGCCTTCCCCTAATCTTGTGAGGCTCTTTCCTAACTCACCTTTGTCATTATTTGCTTTTAGTCATTTGGGTGTGACTAAAAATTTCTTCCCTTCTGTTCTTGTTTGACACTCAATTTTCTAACTTTGAAGGCCTTAAATAAATACAGTGTTTTTTTCCTGGGAGGCGGAGCTTGCAGTGAGTTGAGATGGTGCCACTGCACTCCAGCCTGGGCAAAAGAGCAAGACTCTGTCTCAGGAAAAAAAAAGTAAATATAGTGTTTTAGGTATGAACTTGTCCACTTTGGAGATTTATTCCTTATGGTTAAAAAAAAAACAACAACAATGTTTTGATAATTCAAAAGATTTAGTCTTGCTGGATGTTTTTTCCCATCCACTACAGTGATAATTTAAGATATATTTCTTTTTACGTTCTTTAGCCTGTTCCTTTAATTTTAATAAATTAAACACATATTGGTACTTCCTGGGTTTTGAGTCCCAGGTGTAATAGGAAAAGTGTAGATTTTGTTGATGATTGGTCAGTGCCCCTCAAATAAAAAGAAAAGCCTCTGATTAGAAAAGTAAGGCACCGGCCGAGCAAGTTGGCTCACACCTGCAATCCTAGCACTTAGGGAGGCTGAGGCAGCCGGATCACCTGAAGTCAGGAGTTCGAGAGCAGCCTGACCAACATGGTGAAACCCTGTCTCTACTAAAAGTACAAAAATTAGCCAGGTGTGGTGGCGGGTGCCTGTAATCCCGGCTATTCAGGAAGCTGAGGCAGGAGAATCATGTGAACCCAGGAGGCGGCAGTTGCAGTGAGCCAAGATCACGCAACTGCATTCCAGGTTTTTTTTTTTAAAAAGAGGGGTTTCACCACGTTGGCCAGGCTGGTCTTGAACTCCTGGCTTCAGGTGATCCACCCGCCTCGGCCTCCCAAAGTGCTGGGATTACAGGCATAAGCCACCGTGCCCGGCCTCCAGCCTGTCTTTAAAAAAAAAAAATGATATGATCATTATAAAAACAAACAAAACACAATATTTAGAACTGTGAAAGTGAAAACCCTGCAGCTCTATCCTCCAGAGATAACCGCTGTTAATATTTTGATATTGTCCACCAGATTTTAAAAATGTAGTAAATTTAAAAAAAAAGGTATCACATTTATAGTGTTCTGTAGCTTTTGGAAAAAAACTTCATGTCAGAGCCTGGATGTCTTTTCATGTTAGTATATGTTAATATAAATCTGCAACATTTAAGAAAACAGAATTTTGGTTTGAAAAGTACTTGTATGGCTGGTCTTTATTTAACCAGTCTGTTAGTGGACATTTTGTTTATACCCAGTTTTTTTTTTTTCTTTTTCTTTTTCTTTTTCTTTTTTTTTTTTTTTTTTTTTTTTTTTTTTTTTTTTTTTTTTTTTTTGCCATTTCCAGCAAGGTAATTATATCTTTAGGCTCCTGGGCTGGGCTGACATAACATAGGGTAAGTTCCAAGGCATAAAAGTTCTGGGTTAGAATTTTACTAGCAAGATCTGAGTTGTCCTCCAAAAAGGTGTTACCAATTTACGCTCATGAGAGTGTCTGTTTTAAATATTTGCCACCCCAATAAGTGAAAAAACGGCATCTTCTTATAATTGGCTTTTCAGTTAATCATTAGCATAGTACAAAATACCCTTTTATGATTATTGTTGTTTGCTCTTTATTCCTCTGTAAATTGTTCACATCCTTTGCCTGTTGTTAGTGATTTCTTTTATGGTTTCTGGATTTAACCCTTTATATAATTAAGTTTTCTCCTGGTGGTTCTCTTTTTTTTTGAGATGGAGTTTTGCTATCGTTGCCCAGGGTGGAGTGCAATGGTGTCATCTTGGCTTATCTCAACTTCTGCCTCCTAGGTTTAAGTGATTCTCCTGCTTCAACCTCCTGAGTAGCTGGGATTATAGGCACATGTCACCATGCCTAGCTAATTTTGTATTTTTAGTAGACACGGGGTTTCTCCGTGTTGGTCAAGCTGATCTCGAATTCCTGACCTCAGATGATCTGCCTGCCTTGGCCTCCCAAAATTCTGGGATTACAGGCATAAGCCACCATGCCCAGCCAGTTCTACTTTTAAAATATTATTTTTATTCTTATTGAAATTATTTTTTTTTCATACGAAGTCTCACTCTGTTACCCAGGCTGGAGTGCAGTGGTGTGATCTCAGCTCAGTGCAGCCTCCGCCTACCAGGTTCAAGCTATTCTCCTGCCTCAGCCTCCCAAGTAACTGGGATTACAGGCACATGCCACCACAACAAGCTGATT